TATGCCCAATCAAAATCGTTCCTCTTGATAGCAACTTCTTCATAGAATCCTTATGAAAAAACACGTCACGTTCAGGGACAAAATAGTAAATTACCAAATAGTTTCCAATTTTACAAATTTACATTTTTACCCTCTCACCTGTACATCTTGTAATGAACAAGTAACTTGTTCCAAATCTTTGGCAGAAACTCCAGTTATATTAGTTCTATAATCAGCAACTGCTTTTTCAGGCTTAACAAGTTCATCAAGTTTGACCTACAAAAGTCAACAAAAATTATAGTTGACTTTTTTTTTTTCAAATTTGGTTACCATAATTGACTTAATTTTTTTTACCTTTAAATCACGATCCACAACACAAACCCTAACCAAAGCATCACTTCCATCTTCACATAACACCATCTCACAATCAATTGCAACCATTGCATTTGATCGATTTGCTTTAGCCTTTTTTCTCTCCTTTGTGATTATCCACCCCTGTAACAAAACTCAAAAAGTTTAAAATTTTATAAACTGATTTTATTTTTTTATAGATTTGGTATGTTAGAAAGGGTATATATGTCAAATCAATAAACCTCCTCATATGATGGAAATGAATAACTTTGTGCGTATTGTGGATGACCAATAGTCTTGTAGACAAGCTCCTGCATTTGGCACACATTAAGAAGACTCGAGGATTAATATTTTGTGATATGTGAAAATTTCATCTGTTTATTAAAAATAAAAACCAAAAATTGTCATAACAAACCTGTTCGGGGGATAATTTATCTGTTTTCTTTTCGATATGTTCCAAGCTGTAATGTTTCTCTGCTACTTTATCAAAAAACTGATGAAAAAAAAATCGTTTATTATCATCTGAATCTCCATGGAACTTGGCTTTCATTGAAAAGAATGTCACTAACCTTCAAATCATCAATATCACTGAATGTATTCAAGAAAGCAATCAATGCTTCAGTGGACCTCCTTGCTGGATCACTCAAGCTGACCCCAATCTTCTTGTCATAAACAGCTAAGAAGTCCTTCCAGCCTCCATTACTACCTTTCATTTCTCGCTTTTGTGCCAATTTCACAATGTCGACCAGAACCTAATAGATATCAAGGAAGCTCCATGAATAACGAATTGTAATTTTAACTCTACGTAGTAAAACAAATTTGAATCTACTTATGAAAGGAATAACATGGTCATTCTAATTTCGTATTAAGTTCGAAATTAGTCGATCGATAATATAAACTCAAAAGACAGTGATTGATTTTTCTAATTCATAAACAAAATAACTAATTGAAAGAAAACAATTACTTAAAAGAAAGAAAATTTACCTCTTTTGGAGCCGTTTCGAGCTTATCCATTGAAAGCGTTTTTTTCAGGATGTTTAGCGTGTTTGAAGTTGGAATTTTAGGGAGAAAATATTTAGGGTTTATAATTGGGGTAGGGTTTAAAAGAGAATGTGAAGACTGGTAAGGGTTCTCATTCTTGACGACGACATCCTACATCCTTACTTTATGGGCTTCACTGATGGGGCCTATTAGCCCAATATGTCAGGCCCGTTACATCACTTTAAAACTAAAAGCGTTAGAGGTGCACATTGGTCCATGTTTTTATGTCTTTTATTTCGTTTTTTGGCCGGTTTAATTCTTTTTGGATCGGCTAAATATGATATCTCTCTTAAATTTTAACGTCTATAAAGAGAAAATTGCAAAAATGTCTCTGTGTTAATAAAAAATATGTGATTTTGGTCCAAAAAGTTTCGGGGGTGCATCATTGGTTCGATTTTGGATCTTTTTAGTGTTTTTGGTCCTATCAGCTTGAAAAGACTATTATGTCCTTTTATTTTATTTTTTCTATTTTTTAGTTATTGTAATTCTTAAATTATTTAGAAATTAGAAAAATAGCCCAACCCACCCCACCGTTCTCTTTTTCCACTCTCTCGCCGAAAACAACCAACACCAGCTCCCTTTCTTGACCAGATCTAAATCAAGTGCCCAAAAATCATATTCAGTTCCTTAAAAATCACACTCAGTGCCCAGATAGCTGCAAGGGTTACTCAAACCCACAATTAAACCCACATATCATGCCCAAAACAGTTCCATCAATTAAAATAAGAAATTAAGGATGAAATCAAAACCCTAGAAACAAAAATTTACAAGTGCACGAAGCTTGAATCAAAACCTGAAACCCAAAAGAAACCTAAACCAGAACCTACATCTTTTTTTATTTGATTCACGTTTCAGAGAGTAGAGAGGTGAAGAAGATGACGGTGATAAAATCGCAGGTGGGAGCTGAGGAACAAGCATGGATAGGGTGGTGTTTGTACCAAAGAAGTGGCGGTGGGAGATCAATCACATCATTATAGTTCACATCTGGAGCTAAATCTACTGTCATCAGAGTTTGTTAGGGTGGGAAATGATGAACAAGAAGGGACGATGTGTTTCTCGTAGCTAGAAGAGCACCACGATGCTTAAAGCCATTGCCACGATTACCACCGAATACCATCACCATCCACCACAAACATCTAATCCCACCTTCACCCCCATCTCTCATTCCTCAGACCTGATGAAACTTCCCCACCCATTCTTCGTCGCTTGCTCTTTCTTGTGTATGATTCGAACCACCACAATTTTCGGATTCCTCTCATACCTCACCATAATTAATCAACAAAAACCCTAAATCGTTTGGTGTAAACCCTAGCTCCGATCATCTCATACTATGGCGATGAAGGGGAATAGTTTATCAGTGGGAAATTTGCAGTTTAGGTGGTGGGAGGTGGGATTATTGTCATCGTTGGAGGCAAAGCCGTTGTTGGAGGTTATGCATATTCAGAGAGTAAAGAAGAAGGAATACCGAGAGATGGGGAGGGATGGGTACTGAGCATGATGACTTATGTGAGGTTGTGTGGGTTTTTTGTAGTTTATTTAATTAAAAAAATAAAAAATTTAAGAAAATAGATAAAAAGAAATTAAAAAATAGTTTTAGGGCATATTCGTTATTTCAGGTTGGGTGTGGACTAAAATCACACAAGGTATCCAAAATTAGACCACTGATGCACCATCAAACATTTTTTGACCAAAAACACATAATTTTGACAAGCACAGAGATCATTTTTGCAATTTTGTCTCCTATAAATTAGTTCATAGCATTATGTAACTTGTAAGAATAATAGTATTGAAAGCCAAGATCATCCCTTGATTCTTCCACCAAATACAGTTGGAAATCGGAACATGAATTTTTGGCAATTCGGTCTCATTTGTTTCTCTGGACCCCTTGAGGTTCCGATTCTGATAGACCCTCTAGAGTTTCTGAATTTTGACCTTCATTACTGTTAGAAATCCGATCCTTATGTATCGGGATCAATGTGAATCATATTTCATTGGAAATCGTATCACGTGACTCAATTGCAATATTTACTGACACGGAATCATTAGGATCTATTACACATAACTTATATGCCTTGGAATTTTAAGCATATCCAATGAAAATACAATCAATTCCTCTTTCTCCAAAAGTATTCCTTTTGGACTCGAGTAATTTTACAATCTCCCGGCAACCCCAAATCCGAAAATAATCCAAATTTAGAGCCTTTTTGAACCAAAGTCTTATGTGGTTGTTTTGTTCCGTTTGTTTGGAACTCTATTCAATACATAACAAACATTGCCTCTCCCCAAAATCCCTTATTCAAACCTGAGCAAGACAACATCGAGTTGACTATTTATTTCAAAACTCGATTTTCCCGTTCAACAACACCATTTTGTTGTGGTGTATATGGAACCATGGTTTCATGGATGATTCCAACTAATTAGAAATAACAAGGATTCATATATTCCCATCCCCGATCAATTCTAAGACATATAATTGGATTTCCCATTTGCAATTCCATCTCAGTTTTGTATATTTTTGAACTTTTCCAAGAATTCATAATTGGAGTGCAACAAATACATATAGTAAAATCGAGATGAATCATCAATGAAAATGATCACATACTTTTTGTTATCAAGAGAACGAGTGGAATGAAAATCACAAAGATCACTATGATATAAATCCAAAATTCCTTGTAGCACTCGTGTCAACCCACCATGCACGGTCACCATCTTGTACATGAGACGCTTGACACGATCAGTCCTTTGACATCTCCAACAAACTAACTCAGTAGGCTTCTTTTTTGGTTTTTTATGGCAACATTTAATGCTATTTCCCTTATGGTTTCAATTGTTTTTATTCACTTACACCATGTGGACAACAAGTTGTCCAATACCAGTTTTCCCTTTGTGTTTATCGTTTTCTTGAACATGGAATGATTCCTCAATCCGTAGTGACTTTCAAATTGCACCATAAACAACTCTTCCTTTTGAATTCCTTCCAAGATGGTGGTAACTTGTCAATCACACTCGACACAACAATGCATTCATCTATGTTCATCTTGTGCTAAGTGACTTGACCCATAATGCGAAGGATTTCATTGTATTGCTCCATGTAACACCCGCAGATTCAGGCTAGTCAATTTAGAGACAATAAGCGTCAAAAATGACTTTTTGATAGAAGATTATTTAGAATAAATAATCTTAACTAAGTTATAGTATATGTCACAATGGTTCCGTACATATAAAGAATGCTGAAATCTGACTTATAACGAATAAGTTATGACCCATCAAAGTTTCGAGACAAAACCGGCACGACGTTGTGTGACGTAAAAAGTGAGTTTGCGATAAAATACTTTTTAGCCTTAGCAATATAAACGAAAGTCATAGTATATGTTAAACCGAGAGCATGCATAAAAAGAACGTCCAAATCTGACTTCGTATGAGGAAGTTATGATTTTTCTAAGATTTAGCATAGCAGTGTACAACCCGGAATTCGAACTTTTAGATCGATCAATTTGTATATAACACTCTGTTTCGGAATCCCTTCGTTGCTATGGGCTGCGACCCAGTCATTAGTTGTCATGAGGCTTAGGGCTTCGAGAAAGGAACGATTTAGACCAGTTCGGATGTAGTTGCCATGGTATAAGTGATCCAAATATTCGAGTGTGTCTTCGGAGCCAAGGGTATGATTGTAATTGGGTATCTCGGTATTTTATGGATTTTGGGTTTAATCTGGGAAGGTTTTGAGGCTTGGCTGAGTTATTAGGAGCGTAGGGCTTCTCGCCACCTTTTCGTGGATATAAGGTTCGTTGGAAACGGACCTAGAATGAGGGAGTTATGGTACTTTGAAGGTTTTGGCAGAATTGGCCTCTAATGGAAATATTTGGCAGATCAGTCCCATGCATGCAAGGATGAATGCGCGTGTTTGGCTGGGTACGCCCAGCGTAAGCTGGGGTACGCCTAACGTATAAGGATGAATGGTTACGGGTGGTTCGTGAGTACGTCGGGCGTACTAAAGGGTACGCGGGGCGTACTCCCTTCAAATCAAAACCCTAAATTCGGGGTTCCTACCCTATATAAGCAACATTATACCACCCATTTGGTCACTTTAAGTCGGCCACCACCTCTTTTGACGATCATAAAACCCTAGAGTGCCTTAGGTGAAGCTTGGAGCTTGAAAGAAGACTTTTGGTGGGTTGGGCAAGAAAAGAAGAAGGTGAAAGACTCAACTTCTGGAAGAGAGCTTGGAGATCCAGTGTTAACATCTCCATTTCGAGACTTTCAAGGTATAAAGTCTCTATCTTAGCTATCCATTTCATAGATCTACTTTGGGTTGGTTTTTGGCCATTTTAGTCCTTTTTGCTTGGTCTTGGTGAGCTAGGGTCGTTCTACGGGCTCAATCTAGTAGATCTGGGCATTTTATGGTTCCCTCTCTCGTAAAGGTGCAAGCTTTGTGGAGTTTTTGAGTTCAAGCATGAGTTAAGACCATCCATTAAGCTCTTTTGAGCTCTAGAGTCCCATTAAGCCATGCATGTTAGTAAAGTTGCCAACTTTACTTGAAAAGTCACCTTTAGGAGCCAGACTGGAAAGTTGGAGCAAGGGATGAAGTGATTAAGTGCTTATTGGAGAAATTTGGAATCCAGGAGAGTACGTTGGGGGTACCCACCTGGTACGCGGCGCGTACTGGCCCCAGCGGGTGTACGCTTGGCGTAGCAGATGAGTACGTAGGGCGTACTCGGCCTGGCTGACACATCTCGTTTTGTTGACTTTTTGGGCTTTGGATCATGGACGAGGAGTTGGCTAGGGTTGACCATTCAGTATTTCAGGCCTTTTTAGATATTGAGACTTCTCGAGTTAGGTCCATGATGGATTTGGGCCTTCTTGTGCCTTGTGGGCCATTTCGGGTTCGGGCTATCTTATGGGCTTGTAGTGCATGGACTTTGTCGGGCTAGCTATGGTTATACGTATTGGTTCAGAAAAGTAAATGGGCTTTAGGGAAAGGCCGATGTAAGGGTTTGGGCCCAATTTGGAAAATTGGGCCATTAATGGGCTTTTATGGATCTTATAGTTTGGACCTGGTTGGTTTTGGGCTTGGGCCTTGGT